TTGAAAGTTTCTTCATTGTTTTTGTTCATGCATTCTAAAGTAAAATGATTCTAAATCATACCAATGGGGTTCTTTGGCGTATAACAAAAGCAGAACCCTTTTTGGTGCTAAATAGATCCCTTTTAATAAGGTTCCATAAAGAGCCATGCTTTGAAAGTGCTATATACCTTAATGGTGTTATAACCACCAGAAAATATTCATTCATTCATATCACTATATTTATATTATTAATATTAGTATTGTTAATATTATGTAGACACAATAATAGTAATAATAATAAGAAGAAGAAGAAGAAAAAGAAGAGGAAGAGAAGAGAAGAGAAGCTGAACAGAGCTCGTCATATTTATGTTCTGTTAAACTAAAAAGAGAAAAATATGTGATTGATAGGATTACAATTTATTTAGTTTAAATTTATAGAAAATAAATAAATCATGTACCTGTTGAGAGTGTTGGAACCTCCTAGAAGGAAGTTTTGACACACCGGAATGTGATTTTGATGCTATTTTGATAGCCAAAAAAAGAGAAAAGAACTGTTTTTTTTCTTTAAAAAAAAAAAAAAAAAAAAAAAACCGTTTCACAATTCAGACCCATGACAGGATATTAATTCATGAAGCATACAGAACTCATTATTACTGTTATTATATTATATATTATATTATTACATTAAATTATTATTATTTTTTATACTTTTTATTATTTTGTTTTATCTGTTTATTTTTTCTAATACAAATCTTTTATATTATAAAAATTAGACAGAGCAATAAAAATACAGAAATATATACAGAAATACTATTGTACGGTAAAAAAAGTAAACTAATTAAAAATTTGTATAACAATAATAATAATTATTATCATCATCATCATCATCTCATACACGTGCACAAACACGCACATAAAAATAAGTATCATTTAAAATATAAAAAATAAATCAACATAATATATTACTACTGCAACAATATAGTTAGTATAGTAAATTATATTGTACAGTAATTATTTTAAATAAATAAAATAAAATAAATTATTATTATTATTATTATTATTTATTTACTTATTTTACAGAACAACAGTAAATTACTACACTGATATATTCATGTTGGCCAAGCTTCTCAGGTTGGAAAATACGAAAATCCATATAAAAATAAAAAAATGACATCCCTGACAATGAATGCTGGATTATGAAGCAACACACGTCACACATACACCGAAAAACACATGCATAATTACCCAATCTGTCCAGTCAACCAATACAATTATCATAAAACACATAATTGCTAAAAGAGATGATTTCAAACCCAGTGCTGAGGAGCAGGTGTCTAGCACAGCAATGCAATCTGATCTCTCCAAGCTGAGAAAATGATCAGTCAACAATTATACGAAAAGTAAACAGTAATTTTGTGAGGGGAAATCTGAGCATGTCTAATTAAAATGCTGTTTGTTTTGGCTGCATCTCTTCTCTGTTATTAGTGGCTGTTTAAGAAACAAAGACACAGAGGATAAATCAGATCAGCCTAACTTAGTTAATCATATTCAATATACATCACAGAAGTCTTAAAGGCACGGTAGCAGAAAAGGGTCAGGGTCAAAGAGAGGCTGGAGACTGCTCATGTTTTGTCATACGTACACACGATGCCCTGAGGGCCACACACATGCCTCTCCATGCACTGGTCACACTTCAGGCCGCTGGCGCCGGGACGGCACTGGCACTGTCCGGAGCGCGGGTCACACGCTGTGGGAAATGCACCGTAAGCGTCGCACTTACACTCCTCGCACCGTCCGCCCAACACACTCGGGTTACCATGGAAACCAGGGGCGCACCTGCGCAGACCGGAATCACATTCAACACGTTATGAGGCCTCTGTTAAAAAATTACTATTTACACTTAAAACTCGACATTCAATGCTGCAGAGGGAAACGCACACTCATTTTCAACACTTTATTGACAGATTCGGCCATGTAAGTAACGACTTGTTTTACATCATTTAGAAATATGTTTTCACCTTTCACAGTGTTTTCCCTCGTAGCCTTCAGGACAGGAGGTGCAGCGGTAGTCATTAAAACCCTCCGTCTGACAGGTGGGACTAAAGCTGAGAGAAACAGTGCAAAACTTAGACTTAGCACAGCTAAAGTGTGTGTGTGTGTGTGTGTGTGTGTGTGTGTGTGTATCACATACTTGTTCTCCGGGTTGAGGAGCGGACATGCACAGGGTTTGCAGTCGTCGGTAAAGCCGCGCACTACGCCGTAAAACCCTGCAGCACATCGCTCACACTTATCACCGACTGTGTTATGCTGACAATTCTAAAACAAAAAAAGCATAAAAACACTATTAATACTTTATAACATGTAATAATACTGTTATAACTATGGCTGTCAATTTGATGCATTTAAATTAAACCATTAACAATGTTTACTGCACAATTAAATAATTATGTGTTGACTTCTGAGCAGCTCACTGTAAGTAACGCCATCATGTTATAGTTATTCTGTCTGAAATTAGAGATGCTACTAATTAAAATGAAAGCCATATCCTATATTTCCTAACACTTAAATGACTTCCAATTAAAATGTTGGAAAATGTTAAACTCACATTAGACTCTTTGATAAGCATCTAGTTTTCACTTAAGACAACAGATGGTATATTTATTGATGTGTTCTGAGAATTGTTTACTCTTGTTTACAACTAAACCAACCATTACCTAATCCCTTATCCACCCCTTATGGCTTTTCAGACTTTTCATCTGTGACATCTGATCTTATTTTCATTAATATTTTTTGAGAATTTGAACAAAACCAGCCAATATTTAAATCTCTCAAATGTCACTGCTGTACTGATACATGTGCTAGACAACACTCTGAAAACAGCTAAATCTCAATCTGTGGGATCATTGTTTTATATCGTCATATCATCCAGCCCTAAAACTGCTCCATGTTAAAACACTGAGGCATTATTAACAGCACAACTTTCTGTAAACCTGCTTTGAAACAATTTCATAATAGAGAATTCAGTTTTTTTTTTTTTCCAGTCTGCAGTCAGAGAAAACACACTTACTGAGAGCAGATGGCACAGAATGAATGCAGAGCTCACAATCTTACAAACAGCTGAACGGAGCGCAGCAGAATGCAGGGTTTGATACTCGTTTTTTAAAGTTTAATTGCACATAACATGACACTGGGTCTCATGGCTGTGCTTAATTTTTCCATCAGAATAATGCATGATAATGTCTCCGAGTCAAATTAATTTTGGGACAGCAAATATTGATATATATACAATTAATTGCGATGCATCTGGTTTAAATTTAAATTGCTTGATTGACAGCACGAGTTACAGCATATAATCACACTGGTAAGACAAAAGACAACAGCTTAATTTCATTACACATAAAATCAATACAAATGTAGCTTTTCAAGAAACACATAAAGCTCTCTTTTAATCTTGTGAAAATGCAACATTAAGAGAACATATAACAGAAAGCTGGCCAAAGTAAAGAGATCTGCACTTCTCAAGTTGCCAACAAGAATGAGCAGAAAAATGGAGAGAAAGAGGCACAGAGGAGCGGCAGCTTTCAGAGTGGAGTGTAATCAGACTGCTGAAGTTGCGCTTTACTGGGCCGCGTCGCTCTGAAACTTTCATTAACTTCCTGTGTACCTCAATTACTCAGATTACCCCCCTGCACACTCGTTTACCATTTTCAATTTGCGAAAACCCGTAAAATGCAAATGATATTGCTATTAGCATGCATGCAACTGAAAGCAGAAGAAGGTCTGTACAAGCTGTTTGGAGAACAGTTCGACTGCATGTCCATTTTGGTGGACTGAACAGACCTGATTCTTCCAGGGTGCTTTACTTGCACCTCGTTTCCACGAACACGGTGCTGAATCCAGTCTGGCCAAATCCACATTTCCACTGCAGAAAAGCTGGTTCTGGGCAGCTGTTTTGTCATCGCTTGGCTGTCAAGTCAATGGAAATGCAGGCCAGTTCTGAGAGCGGCTCAAAGATCCCCTGGCCGAAAACTGGCTCCAGCACCATTTAGTTTAGGAAAATGGGTTTTGGACAACTGTCATCTGCGATGGTTCATTGATACTGTTGCTAAAAGGTTCTGAATGCACATCAGCCCAGCAATGCTACTTCAACTCTATATACCAATGGGAGACACTCACTCAAGCCAATCCAATCAGGAAGGACTTGGTCCACTCAGAGGAATGCAGCTCATAAATGCTTTTATTAAGGGTGTACGCACCTGGCAGACGGCTGTTTCAGGATCACACGAGTCACTGTGTCCATTGCACTGGCACCGGACACAGGTGCCAAAGCCCGCTCTGGACGCGGCTCCACCGGCATGAACAGAGAGCCTGTAGAACCCAGCTGCACATTCCTGCATGAGCCATCACACTGTTATTTACACAAACACACTGTACTACATCAGCAAGTTTTTACAGCAACCTCTTACAATACAATAATATATTCATAATATGACTGTGAAACTAAGGGGGTGATTGCACGACACCGATTTCAACTAAAAATGGGAAACCTTTTTTGTGTTTCGGTCACTCATTTACATGACAACAGTGTTTTGGTTGCCTGAAAATGCAAACTTTTGAAAACGGGTTTCAAAGTGCAAGTTTTTGAAAACCCGTTATCATCTCTGTGTAAACTACAAAAACGCAAATTTGTGTAACGGTGACGTCATGTGTGTGCATATTATGTGCTCAGTCTATAGGAATGTATGAAGGTGCATAGTGTTTTTTACAAAGTAACATTGGCAGCTACTGGCTTGGCATGAATAATACAGCGCTTTTAGATGTTTTCGTGGATCCGTGTGAATGGGGATAGTTTTGACAATGTTGTCATCTGCATGCAAAAATTTTCAAAAACGCAAAGGAGAAACAGTTGTTGTTGTATAAACATCCCCTAATTCAGACTAGGTCATTTTCTTTCATAACACAACAAATGATTATAAAAATGACCATATTGCATGGCATTGTTGGATAAGTGTTGATAGTTCTGTTTCCATAGTGTCTCTTTGATAGGGTATTTGGGCTTTACTTTCTCTTAAGCTGCCTTTCCACTTTCTTCAATTTATGTACAATTACCACATTTCTTTACCTAGTGGCAGTCACACAGAACTTTCTAATTGGTCATGAAGTAGTCGTTATCTGTTTATTCACCATGTTAAAATGAATGAATGAATAATGACTCTATGAATATTTCCACATAAATCAAATGATGGCCAGTACATTTGAAGGTAAAGCATAGGAGGTTTTATAGAACTAATGATTATTTAACAATGATAAAACAACTATTTATAATTATGCCTATTTTGTAGAAATTATGGTTTAAAGAATAACATTGTAATGCACAAATATTGGTAATTCACTCATAGTTTTGTTTAGGATACATCACATCCAGTCAGGCGGTTACATTTAGTCTAGACATAAAAGTTAGAATATTTTTCAACGTGTCTGAAGCTCAAACCGGATCCAAAATTTATCTAAATTTTTCTACCACAAACAGTTTTGGTCTGTTTGTGGTAGAAAGTGAAAAAACGGCTTTAGCTGGGCTTTAGCAGTTGCAATGTTACATTATATTTAAAGGAGGTTAGTAATGAACTCAAGTTAATTAAGTGCAAGTTAAAGGAACACTCCACTATTTTTGAAAATAGGCTCATTTTCCAACTCCCCTAGAGTTAAACAGTTGAGTTTTACCGTTTTCGAATCCATTCAGCCGATCTCCGGGTCTGGCGGTAGCACTTTTAGCTGTAGGAAAATGAGCCAATTTTCAAAAATAGTGGAGTGTTCCTTTAAGACTTAAGAGTCACTCTACACTTTACTGCATGTTGCATTTTATAGTAAAAGAAAGCATATTCAGTTAAGTGTGATTCTGGTGAACTTTGCGTTCTCAGATTTCAACACTCAAAACCTGACAACGGAGACAACATAGACTCTTAGATATTATAGCAAATAGTAACAAATGAACCTGTATAACGTGTTCATTCTGCAGCGCATGTGTTAGCATAGTGCCGTGGCGTTCGGATATGACACTACTACAGTTAATGTGTAAATATGCAAGAGGTTACAGACACACATAATCATTGTCATTCAATTAAGCAGGAACGTGCTGCAAATCCACGCCGAAAAATTGTTACATTGTAGACCAGCATGTTCATATGGGGAAAAAAATAGTCCTCAACCATTGAAACCATAGCAACACTCTTTCTCACCATCGCTCTTCAAAATTAATCACATCAATTTAGTACACCATCTGTTCAGGGTGAACTTGCTAAACGCCTGTTTAAAAATACTTTATTAAGCACAGTATGAGGTGTTTCAGAGTTACGGCCATCTGTCTCGCGCGGCCTCGTCCAGCCTGAATGTGAACAACTGACTCTTGCTGATCTGTAATCAGAGTCTCGCACGCTTGAGCTTGTTAAAGATCTCACATGAGCACTTTGTGGGCGGAGACTGGCGGCGAGAGAGCGCTTTAACACATTAACAGTCTGAGGAGCAGAAACACTGGCTGTAATGATGAGTGTCGTGCAGCGATACATCCAGCTGTTCGTCTCTCCACACTCAGCCTGTTTTTCCAGAGCTGTTGTGTTTCTAGAGCCCTGTTATGAAAGGGCATGTCAGCACCTTTCAAAGTGACCTAATTATTGTGACAAGGACGTCACTTTAAATCTATTTGGAAACTGCATTACTGGGACTTTTCAGAGTTGGTTTTTTGGTAATGTTGTGAACAACAGATTGAGTTTACAGGTGCATCTCAATAAATTAGAATGTCGTGGAAAAGTTCATTTATTTCAGTAATTCAACTCAAATTGTGAAACTCGTGTATTAAATAAATTAAATGCACACAGACTGAAGTTTGAGTTGAATTACTGAAATAAATGAACTTTTCCATGACATTCTAATTTATTGAGATGCACCTGTATTATGTGGATGAAGCAATCTCAGCCATGCTATGTAATAAATATAAAACACATAATGCTTTCATAAAAATGTGTGTCCTTACTATTTTTACTATGACATTGGCCTATGCTCTATTATCTGACCAATATTATGCTATAATATCTGACCTACAGAGAGTTGGGTAATAATAGCATTTATAACATATGTCTTATCACAACCTTCCAGCACATAACAGCTCTTACACGTCAAATATTGTGCACAAAAGCCTTTACCTCACAGGAGAGACCGGCGTATCCCAGAGGACAGTCACATTTCTCAATCTGATGGGCGATTTCACTGTCCTTTGAGGGCGTCCCCACCTCAGCCACCTCCAAAGTGATCTCAGAAATCCTGCACATCACACCAGTTCACACACACATACATATGAGCTTCTGCTCCTTCATAACTATTTTGGTCTTACAAAACTTATTACAACTCATAAATTACTAGAACTTATAAAACAAGTTCTTACCAGTGTTATTTTAGTATAATAGATCCCATTATAGTTCTTATTCATATTTTGAATTAGTTTTTTTTTTTGTGAAGTTTTGGTCATTTATTTATATGTTTTTGTTCACCTTTTTTAGTTTTATTTATATGGCTATACAGTTTTTATTAATTATTATTTCATTTTTAGTTTTAGTTATTTTAGTACAAGTTAAACTAAATGAAAATTAGAAATGCTGCCTCAGCAACGATGTAAAAAAAAAATTTTTTAGTTAAAGTTTATTTTATTTCAAGTAACATTTTTTATGGTTTAAGTTTTAGCTTTAGTTATCTATAATCACCAAGGTTCTTCCTCGTAATTTGAAAGTTGAATAACATTTGAAATAAAGTTGTAGGCCATGCTTGAGATCAGTTACCTGCTGTGTCTCATGACGCTGCCGTGTGAGGCCTTTATTAGGATATATTCGACATGAAACAGCACGTCCATGAAATCCTCACGAGACATCGGCCTGTCATCCTTGTGTTTCCATTCGTGCTGCAAAACATCAGTGTTTTAGTGTATGGTTGATGTAACTGTGGTAAATGAGATCATGTGAATGACTCCTGCACATGCAAACACTGTCAACACTCTTGTAAAAGTGATGTGTTGTGTGTTTCAGTAAGTGGGAGGGGCTGAGCGCTGACTCTCATCCCTGATTGGCTCACCTCTGTTATGTCAATCTCGTGACGGGTCAGCTGGCCAATCTGAAGTGCTGGCATGTGGCGGACCATGACCTTGTCCTTGTTGGGTCCGCCCTTTATGATGACCTGGGGCTCGTAAGAGGTGCGGCCCGTCTCATCACGAGCCTCGTAATAGATGGCATACTTCAGCTTCCCACCATAGGCTGTTATCTGAAAGAACAACCTCCAAATGGTGAGACTCGTTGTAATGTTCATTAGCTGGCCTTGAAATGTAAAAAAAAATATTTTATATGATTGAAACAACTGGACTGTACACTTGCATTCAAAAAGTTTGGCATCAGTTTTATTTAAAGAAATAAATTATTTTATTCAGCAATGCTGAAAATGCTGTTCTTTTGAACTTTCTATTCATGAAAGAATCCTGAAAAATAAAATGTGTCACGGTTTTCACAAAAATATGAAGTAGCACAACTGTTTTCAAAACTGATCAGAAATGTTTCTTGAGCAGCAAATCAGCATATTAAAATGATTTCTGAAGATCATGTGACACTGAAGACTGGAGTAATGATGCTGAAAATTCAGCTTTGATCAAAGGAATAAATTACATTTTTAAAATATATTAACATAGAAAACATATATTTTAATTTTTTAATAATATTTCACAATATTACAATTTTTACTGTATTTCTAATCAAATAAATGCAGCTTTGGTGAGCAGAAGAGACTTCTTTCACAAGCATTAAAAATTTTACTGACCACAAATCTCCTATCATCACACTTTTGGGACTTATTTATTTTCTAGCAACAAACATGTATACATAAATGTATGTAAATGTGTATTTAATGTATATAAAATAAAATGAAAAAAAAAAAAAAAAAGCTGAAGGATGTTAGTGGCAGACTGACCATGGAGCGTTTGAACTGTTTTGGCAATCTCCAGTAGTACGGCTCACTCAGATGCTGCTGGACCACATCAGCATTAGCGATGATGTCAGGATGCTGGAAGCTCACACCCGCTGTGATCTCCTGATGACTGGATTTGTCCACAAGAGGAAGAACGGTCTGTTCTGGCATCAGAGTCAGCTATAGGACAGCAAAAGACTCATCTAAATCAATCAAGCTGAATTAACTTTGAACTTCCAAAGTCAACATGAAATGGCATTCACAATTTAACTTCAGTAATATTTCCAAGTGAAACTGAATATTCAGCGGGATCTAATGTAGATTGGATTGTGAGAAATGCTTTGCGATATTATTACTGGTTAATGTTTGTGCTCACCCACACAGCAGATGTTTCAGAGGTGGATAAAGTTATTACATCTCAAAGAAAGATTATGAAATTTTTTTTGTCATTAGTGCTCCAGAGATTTTTATTAAGTAAGCAGGGTTAAATTGCCACACAAAATAGTGTAATAGTGTTGTGTTTCAGCGTCAGTGTCTTTGAGGATTTATTTGTGTGTGTATTGAGAGGCATAGTTTGGTAAATGTGTGTGTGAGGAACCCCACAGGGCAGCTAAACTACCCTCACATCAACACACAATCTCACGACTCACTGACTTAGAAAAAATCTCTCGTTTTCCCAAAAATGAGTTAAAGGATTCCAAACTCCTCTCCGAAACTTAAATTAACTTTTAGACAGCAACCTTTGTTTAATTTGTTTGTCGATTTCATCACATTGGAAGAGTGTCATTCAGCCATATTCTGCTTTTTTTCTCCATGGACATGCTGAGGATTAAGACGAGTTTCTGAACATGCAGGAAACCCTTTTTAAAAACAAACAAGGGCTCTGGCTCTGTGCGTCATCACTTTCTCTCTATATTTGTCTCTGTCTGCTCTGCTGCTCCTGCACACTTAATTCTGTCCTGTTGTGAATATGGTTGAGGGAGAATGACATCTAGGAAGCACTTGATATTTATTAATATTTACTGTTTCCCTGGTAACCGGAGCATCTCAGCCCACCTCGGGACAAGATGATTAAGAAAGCCATCAAAACACACACACAAACAGACACCTGTGTCCTCATCTCATCCACACCATCACAACCAACATATAAAGCAAATAATAATTAAAACATATCCTTTGGTTAAGAATCATAAACGCTCATAATTCTGTAAAATAACAGTCAAAATGGTTTATAATTATTGAAAACTTTCATACTTTAAAGAAAAAACATTTGAGTAACTGGGTTGAATAGTTAATAGTTGAACCTGACACACCGTATGTGTAAAAGAAACTTCGATGAGATTATTTAATTCTCTTTCCACCTAAATTCAAAAAAGTGCTGCTATTGTCAAATCCAATGCTCCCTTACAAGGGGTAATGAGGTTGTTCAAATGAGGAACAATATTATGTGTTGAATAATTAAATTTGAAGTGAGAATTAAGAATTCTCTTCTTCCTCTGCACCTATCACCTGCGGGGTACCTCAAGGCTCCATTTTGGGCCCGGTTTCATTATATATATTCTCCTGTTAGGTATACATTTTTAGAAACACAGCATCTCATACTATTATTTGACAATACTCTGCTTCTACTAAAACTGAGTTCTGCCTTACAAACTCTGTTTGCCACAGAGACATTAAAGTTAGATAGCTATGACCGATTTGGTAAGAAAAGTTTTACCAGAAACTGCTTTATATACTTTCAATTCTCTCCTCTGTCCCCCTCCACCACCTCCTATCACTTCCGGAGAGGCTCAAAATCACTTTCCAGAACATTCTCGTTCACCATTCCTGGCTGGTGGAACGATCTTCCCACCCCTATCCGGAATGCTGAATCCCTGACAACTTTCAAGCGACAGCTGAAAACTCATCTCTTTCGAAGCTACTTGACTTCATCATCATCATTATAAAAAAAAAAAAATTCTCTCTCTTTATTTATTCCTTCTCTTTCTAGCTTGTACTTATTTGAACAATGTCTAGAAACTTGGTATTACAAGCACTTCCTGTATCTGTTTGCCTCTTTAAGAAGAATCGCTTTATGTATCCCCAAATTGTAAGTCGCTTTGGATAAAAGCGTCTGCAAAATGACTAAATGTAAATGTAAATATATATAAGGAGGAGATGTTAACCTGTGTCATATGTCCTATTGGATAAAATGTAATGGTAAACAATGCTTAGTAATCACATTCAATTCAGTAATTAAATATGGTAAGGCAAAAAAAAATTAAATGTAAGTCAAATGCAAGTTGTGTGTGTGTGTTTGACTTGTGTATGACTTGTGTGTGTTTACTCACCCTCATACGGATGAGTCCCGTGGCCTCTGTACATGAGCTGCTCAAGCCGAAGCAGTAGCACTGACTGCAGCCCAGTGGATTCCTGTGACTGAGGCTGAACGAGCCCACCTTACAGCGGTCACATTTCACTCCCTCCATGTTAGCCTGAACACATACATTCACATTAGTACTGTGTGTGTTGTTTTACAGCTACCTTAAAGAATAGAGTTGCATTTCCCAAAAGTATTGTAAGCCTAAGCAGATCAAAGAAACCATCAGCATCAGTGATCTCTATGATCTACTTAGGCTTGCAATGCTTTTGGGAAAGGTAGCCAAGGACAGTCTCTCTCACAGCTGTCATGTGGGAACAGCAGTTTTATCAGATTGGAGCATCATACAATAATTAATTGGCAGTGCATTTCTATACCCCTAATAGTCATTATGACATGGCAGTTCTGCTGAAAAATCCCTTTGATCACAATTTACTGTACAACAGTGGCTATACTGGATGAATCAGAGTCGGGTTTCAAGCTCAATGTCATTACCTTGCATGAGCACTGCCCACTTCTGTCTGCACATGCGCAGAGACCAGACTCTGCATCGCAGGTGTCCAGTGACGAGCCTGCCGCCGAGCACTGGCAGGAAATGCATTGTGGGAAGTCTCTGTAACCCAGCTTACACTCGTCACATTTCTCACCCCTGAACTGCTCACGGCACATGCAGCAGCCTGTGTTCACGTTACATTGCTGTGCTACAGACCCCAGCGCGTTACAGCCACATGACTACAGAGAAAGAGAGAAAATTACAGACATATAATTCATAATATGCATAACATTTAATTAAAATGGCATTCACTTTCCCTGCATGTGACTGAACACTTTTGAAAATGTAGGATCCATTCTGAACCATTAAGTGTTGTAAAGTCTGATAAGGGCAGGCAAGGCTGAGCATTATTTGCCACTTAACAGAAAATCAGTCAGAATAAGATGCAATTCTCAGCACTGCCCTTGGCTGCTCCTCTTCCTACCTTAAGGCGAGAGATTTTTCCATTGAAATTGAGAATTACATTTCTTCCTCTACATCTATCACCTGCAGGGTATCTCAAGGCTCTGTTATCACCTGCAGGGTATCTCAAGGCTCTGTTTTGGGGCCGGTTGATTTAACAGAATCACTGAGTTGGAAAAGTATCACCCCCTTGTGCCAGTATTTTGTTGAACCACCTTACAGACTTTAGTCTGTTGGGATATGTCTCTATTAATAAATCTACACTTTGCAACATTTGCCCACTCTTCTTTGCAGAGCTGCTCAAGTTCAATTAAATTTTAGAGTGAGCATTTGTGGACTGCAGTCTTCAGGTCATTCCACAGATTTTCAGTGGGGTTTAAGTCTGGGCTCTGACGAGGCCATGCAAGGACATTCATCTTTTTTTTCCTTCAGCCACTGTGTGCTCAGCTTTGCTGTGTGATTTAGGTTATTGTCATGTTGGAAGGTAAACCTTCTTCCCATTGACAACTTTCTGGCAGAGGGCAGCAGATTTTCCTCAAGAATTTGACGGTATTTTGCCCAATTTATTTTTCCTTCTGTCTTGCCAAGTGCTCCAGTCCCTGCTGCAGAGAAACACGCCATAACAGGACATTACCACCTCCATGCTTTACTGAAGGAATGCTGTTATTTGGATGGTGTGCTTTAGTGGATTTATGCCAGACATATCGTTTGGTTTTGAGGCCAAATAATTCAATTTTAGTCTCATCTGCCTCAGAATCTTCAATGTGTGTTTTGGCAAAGCTCAGTCTAACTGCATGCGGCCTTTTTGAGGAGCGGCTTTTTTCTTACAACCCTCCCATACAAGCCACATTTGTGGAGAATTTGTAATATTGTTGTCACATGCACACAATGACCACTCTTTCTCATAAATTCCTGCAGCTGCTTCAGAGTTGCTGTCGGCCTCTTGGTTGCCTCTCTGACGAGTGCTGGTTAGGTATGTTTTGAAGCATGGCAGCTGGTTTGAGTTGGTTTAACCTGGTCCTGAGCTGGTTATAAGCTGGCTATGAGCTGGTCCTAAGCAGGAGCTAGTTGCTTAGGACCAGCACATGATCAGCTTAAACCAGCTCATGACCAACTAAGGACAAGCTTAAACCAGCTCAAACCAGCTGCCACACTTCAAAGCATACCTAACCAGCATATGCTGCTTTTTTCAAGAGGGCCTTTTATCCAGTTTGGAGCGATGTCCTGATCCAGGGAGGGTCTGTGTTGCACCAAATACCTTCCACTTCTTAATAATAGACTTCACTGTGCTTCTAGGCATTGATCAATCCTTTGAAATGCTTTTGTCTCCATCTCCTGACTTGTGCCTGTCCACAGCTTTATCCCGGAAATCTTTTGACAGTGCCTTGCAGCTCATAGTTAATTGTTTGTTTCAGTTGCACTACCAAGGACTGAAATGCTCCAGGAAAGCTCTTTTCATGCTGAGCTAATCAAAATGACTACAGCTGATCACAGATGAAAGTCAAATGGCTTTGTGTGCCATTGAGAAGGTGATTAACTAGACTTGATTGAGTTTACAAGTCATTTTTAGGAGGGGGCTGATCCTTTTTCCAACTCAGTGAGTCTGGTTTTTATTTTTTCTAACATGTTGATGTTATATCTTTCACTTGGATGTTATACGTTGCACTGAGTAAATACAGCTGGATAAAACAAAAACTGTGTCTGTCTTCATTTCAGGTTGCAAACCAACAACGTGTGATTATTTTAAATGGGGGTGATTCTTTTCTTTGCCCACTGTATGTATGTGTGTATGTATATATATATATATATATATATACAGTATGTATGTATATATATATATATATATATATTAGTGCTGTCAAACGATTAATCGCGATTA